GGCAGCGCGTTCCACTAACATGGTAGCGCGTTCCACGTCTCGTAAGAGTGGCAAGTCAGGCGCGCCGACGAGCGCGAGCGACGACGCGACCGCCGCGGCTGCCGCGGCAAAAGTCGCGCACGCCAGGGCGCTCGCCACGGCGCGCAAACGCCGCTTCGACGAGCGCCAGAAGGAGCTGCTTCTCGTCAAGGGCGACGACGTGGGCGACGATGTCTTCAAGGCGCGCGAGCGCGCTGCGCTGCGTCGCGCGCGGGACGTCTTGATCTACCACCACAAGAAGCAGGTGCGCGAGGAGCAGCGCGTCGAGTTCGAGGAGCTGCTCGTGCAGCAGCGCGTCGACATCGAGGAGCAGCGCGAGGACGCGGCCAAGGAGCGCGCCGCGGCGAAGCAGGCCAAGGCCGTCGCCGCGACGGCGCGGGCCGCGGCGAAGCAGGCCAAGGCCGTCGCCGCGACGGCGCGGGCCGAGGCGGAGAAGGCCAGGGCCGCCGAGCTCGAGGAGCGCGAGGCGCGGGAAGAGGAGACGGCGCGCCGCGTTGCCGCCGAGGAGAAGCTCGCGGCGCTCGACGACGGCAGCGACGACGACGATGGTAGCGACGGCGACGGCGGCGACGACGACATGAGCGACTACGACAGCGAGGACGACGACAAGGCGACGGCCACGGCGGCGCTGAGAGCGATCAATAAATCGTTAAAATACGCGCGACGCGGCGTCCTCACGAGCGCCGACGTGCGCGCCATCGGCGGTCCCCCCGCCCTCTCTCTCGGCGCGGCGTGTAAGTGTCGCGTTCAACTAAGCTACGCGTCCGGGTCGACGAGCATGTTGAAGAGCCGGGACCGGTCCGCCCTTTGGCCGGAGACGTCGGCGCGTTTTTTCCAGAAGCGGGCCTCCTCCTCGGCGGCGGCGAGGGCGTCCTGCCAGGGCGCGCGCGTCGGCGGCGGCGGCGCGCAGTCCGGGTGGGCCGCGGGCTCGCCGTCGTCGCCGCCGCCGCCGTCGCGGCGCGCGCGCGCGACGCCCGCGTCGACGCTCGGCGCGGGCGAGTAGCGCAGGAAGTAGTCGCGCCAGAGGCCGACGCCCCGGAGGACGACGGTGAGCGGCGGCAGGAGCGCGTGCTCCGACGTCGGCGCGCGCGCCGCGAGGTCCGGCGCCGGCGGCCGGTACGCCGCGCTCGCGAAGTGGGCCCTGTTGTGGTCCAGGTAGGCCCAGAGGCTCGGCGCGTGGGGCGCGTGGGCCTCGCGGTCGCCCTCCGTGTCGAAGAGGAACGTGCCGAAGCGGCAGCCGTGGGCCGCGTCCGCGACGGCGACGAGGTACGCGGACCCGAACTCGAAGTGCTCGGGGAAGAGCGCCGTGAGCTGGAAGGCCGCGTCGAGGAACTGCACCAAAATCGGCGCCGCCTGGTCGTCGGCGCCCCGGTCGCCGCCCCGCTCGCGGCCGTGCGCGAGCCGCGTCGCGAACGGGTGGCCGAAGGCCACAAAGTCCTTCTCCACCAGCCGCGCGAAGCCCCGCATGGTCCGGCACTCGGCGTCCAGCAGGAGCTGGGCCAGGGCGGCGACCTGGGACGTGCGGTCCCAGCCGTGGGAGCAGTGGACGAGCACGCGGCAGCGCCGCCGGTGCGCGCGGTCCGCGACGTGCCACGCGGCGCGGAGGAGCCGCCGCACGGCCGCCTGGGCAGCACAAGAGATATTCAACGTCGCTTCAACGTGAGTGTTCCGCGCGCACGCGTTCCGGAGAAAGCATCCACGCTTCGAGACCGTTCCGAGAGATGATCGCTCGTCCAAAAATCAGCCGAAACGAGTGGAAAACGGCCGAGATAATATTATGAGCCTTTGAAGTTGGGAATTTCGCTCTCTTTTGCTGCCCTGACGGCCGCGAGCCAGCCGCTCTCCTCGACGAGCCCGAGCCAGCCGAGCTCGCGCGACGCGTCGAAGCCCTCGTCGTCGAAGACGGAGTGCGACGCGTCGTCGCCGGGCCGCTTCTCCCGGTCCCTCTCCTTGTCCGGCGCCTTGGCGACGGCGGCCCAGACGCGGCCCGAGAGCGAGCTCGACCCGGGCTCCGGCGCGGGCGCCTCGGCGTCCTCGCCGCCGCCGCCGCGGCTGCCCCGCGCGTCGAGGGCCAGGGCCTCCAGCGCCTTGTGGGCCGCGCGGACGGCGTGGATGTTGCCGACCTGGGCAGGAAAAGAGTGCGAAATTCCCAACTTCAAGCTCCTCTCTCGGCCGTGTTCCACTCGTTTTGGCTGATTCTTAGACGAGCGATCATCTCTCGGAACGGTCTCGAAGCGTGGATGCTGTTTCCAGAACGCGCGCGCGCGGAACACTCACGTTGAAGCGAACTTGAATCACTCTTTTCCTGCCCTGTCGCCGACGCCCGCGAACGAGAGCCGGCACTCTTTGTAGCGGTCGCGGTCCTCCGTGCCGTAGCCCCCGAGCTTGTTCGCCGACGCCGAGCTCCGCGGGCGGCAGTCGATGATCTCGCAGAGGGGCCGCGACCGCGCGCGCCGCTCGCCGCCGTCGGCCGACGCGATGGCCCGCACGAGCGCCTCGTCGGACGCGGACGTCGCGCCGGCGACGCCGACCTTGGGCTGCGACGCGCGCCAGACGCTCGCGCCGTCGCGCGCGTCGCCCCAGGTCAGCGCGGGCACGCGGCCCTCGGCGCGGAACTTGCCCGCCGCCGCGACCTGGCCGTCGCCGACGGCCGCGGGCACGACGAGGAGCTCCGGGTACGACGCGCAGACGGCGCGGCCCGCGTTCGCGCCGCTCAGCCGCCAGGGCACGGGCGCCTCGAAGAGCACGTTGTCCCGCGACCGGCGGAAGCCGAGCCAGGCCGCGAAGGACGCCTCGGCGTCGTAGCGCCACCACCGCGTCTCCGTCGCGCCGGGCGCGGGCACGACGCTCGGGTGCGCGAGCGCGAAGAACGCCGCGCCGGGCGCGCCCGGGTCCTCGCGGAAGGCCACGGCCCGCAGCAGCTTCGCCGCCTCGGCGCCGGCCTCGGGCAGCACGAAGGCCACCTCGCGCACGTCCTTGCACCGCAGCGTCAGCTTCCACCCGCCGTCGCCGAGCGCCAACGTCCGCAGCCGCCGGACGCAGCCCAGCGCGATCTCGAAGTAGGTCGCCGGCATGTGCGCCAGGCTCCCGGGGGGTCCTTCCCGCAGGAACCGCAGGCGGTACGTCGTCATCTCCAGCGCGCCCACGACGGCGATGCCGTCCGCGGCCACGCAGAGGCACCGCGGCAGCAGCATCATCACCGACTCGCCGCTCAGGTAGGACCGCCGCGGCCCGGACGACTGCGGTGGAGCCGGCGGCGCCGGCGCCGGCGCCGCGACCGTCTCCTCGTCGGAGTCGAAGAGCCGCGCCATGCTTCTAGCCGACCATGCTGGAGGAATTCCCCCTTCAATGTTGGCTTGGGGCAGCGTCTCGGGCATGGGTGCCGCTGGGCCAGCCTCCAGGTTGTAGCTCTGGTGGAATCAGTGGCCGACGATGGGCGCCGCCAAGGAGGCGGCGGCCGCGGACTGCGACCAGAAGCGCGCCGCGCTCAAGGCGAAGACATCGCTCTCGCCCGTCGAGGCCGCTTCGGTCGAGCTCGCCGTCGACGTCGACATTTTGCTCGCCGTCGCGCAGGCCATGGCCATGAGGGGAGCGCAGACTGAGGCCGCCGCGGGCGCCGACAGCGTCGCGGGGGAGATATTGCGCGAAATCCAAGAGAACCCGGCCTGCGAGCGCGTGCGCGCGGCCGTGCAGCGCCTCGGCCTCGTCGACGAGGCGAGGGCGAAGATCGCCGAGAAATCCGAGCGCGACGCCGAGGACGCGAACGTCGACGACGGCGCCGAGGCATTCGTGCGCCGCGCGATGGAGGGCGCGGGCGTGGCACCGTGGCTGGTCAACGAGAAGCTTCCCGAGGCTACGCGCGTATTTCACGACCATCTGGCAGAGTGTCATGGTGTGTGGCCAAGGGCGGAGGTGATGTTTGAACAGTACTTTGACAAAGCGCTGGAGGTCAGGAAGAAGGAGTATGAGAGACATTTCCGCGAGAACATCTACAACATCCGCGTGAACGCCGAAAAGATCGTGTGGAAGGTTTTGTCGGACGCGGGCTGTCCACCGGAGATCATCGAAGAGCGGATGCCCATGCACATGAATTACTTTTGCTCGCATATGGCTCTGGGTCGTAGTGCTTCATCAGCGGAAAGGGAATTCAAGGAACTTATTGAAGAAGGGCTAGCTCAACACGAAAAAGAATTGTCGGAGCCCGCAGAGCCGGTTTCGCAGAAAGAGTCGCGAAGTTCGGAGGAGGAGCAGGAGGGGAAAAAGATTTTCCTAACGTTTCTAAGCCATCGTCAGAATCCCGACCTCAGCGGCGCGCTGTATGTGCTGAGTCTCCTCGATAAGCTCGACGCGAAAGAGGCGCGAGCATGTGCAGCCCAGTCGGAGCAGCAAAATGCCTCCGAAACAAAGACATCCGGATGGCGACACGCGAGCAAGGAAGATTACGGACGGGCGATGCGAGGGGCTCTCGAGGAGCTCGCGGAGAGCGACCGCCGTGAGGTCCAGCGTATCCACCAGGCGTACGAGAAGCAAATCCGCGACTATAATTCAAGAGGCTCGTAGTCTATTCGCCTACGTGCAAGACATCGTCGGGGAGCACCCGTTCCACGTGAAGAGCTCGTCGGCGGCCCAGCGCGTGCCGTCGAGCGCGCCCCAGAACTCGACGCCCTGGACGCCGCCGGGTCCGGCCGAGTAGAGCATGTGGCCCGTCGGCCCCGGCGGCGGCGGCCCGGTCCCCGGGCACGGGTTCGACACGTTGAAGGCGTGGTAGGGCACGCCGCGCGCCTCGTGGAGCAGCGCGAAGGCGTCGAGCGAGACGTCGCGCCGCGTCGCCGTCGGGTCGTCGGCCGCCATGATCTTGACGTGGAAGTCCAAACCCCGGTCGAAGCCCGTGCCCTCGCCCACGTTGGCGGCGTGGAGCTTGTTCATCCAGGCCTGGTAGGCCGCCCAGCCCTCGACGGCCCCGTCGTTTTGCACGAACACGTACTCGAGGTCGTACCCAAAAAGAACGGGCCTGCCGTCGAAGGGCGCCGTCGACGTCACGAAGCGCAGCAGCTCGCAGTCGCCGTCGGCCTCGAAGTCCACCTGGAGGTCGGGCAGGAAGGCGTCGAGGAACGCCGCGGCGTCGTCGTCGAGGTCGGCGACGGCGACGCGGAGCTGCGCGACGATCGGCGCGGGCAGCCCGCCCGAGGTCGTGTTCCAGCCCGCCGCGGCCGCTTTCCGCAACCACGCGTCGTAGTAGCGCGCGTCCTTGGGCAGCGCGCGCGCCTGGACGCACTCGCTCGGCGCGAAGGGCGCAAACTCCGCGTCGTCGCAGCCGGCGCACGCGGGGCTCTGGAGCTCCAGGGCCTGGCCGCTCCCGGGCGTGCGGACGAGCGCGACGTAGCCGCCTCCCGGCGCGCGGCGGGTCGCCGTCGAGACGTTGTCGGCCTTGAACGCCCGGACGTGCGGCCCGAGGTCCGGGATCCAAAAACTCGTCGCGTAAAAGTCGAACGCCGACAGCGGCGGCGCCGCGAGTTTGCGCGCTTCCCAGTCGCGGAGCGACGCGCCGTCGACGGACTCGGGCGTCACGTAGGACTGCGGGAAATGGATGCCGAATTTGTCGGGCAGCGCCCAGCCGAGGTCGCGATCGAGGCAGCCCTTGTCGTGCGTGGCGCTGGGGTCGGGCCTTCCAAAATACCTTACGAAGAACGCGAGGTCCGCGGCGCCATCTGTAGTCGCGAAGGTCCGCTTCGTCGTCACGTATGCCGCCGAGGCCGCCGAGAGGCTCCACACCACTGCGGCTGCCCGCAGCATGCTCCTCCGATTGGCCAAGGAGGCCTCGTGATTGGCCATCGACGAAGTTGAGCTTCGTGTTGAATGACATTGCCCTTCAAGCGGCTTATGGCCGCCCGCGAAAACGAGCTTCTGAAGCAGCCTGAGGAGTCCGTCGTGAGCTTCTGAAGTCCAAAAGGTCCGTGATGATGCGCGCATTCCGCATACTCACCTTCGCTGTCGCGGCTGCCGCGTGGCTTGCGCCGCCAACCATTCGGCGCAGTCTCGCACCGCGGCGCGTCCTCGAGGAGCGAGTCGACGCGGCGCCGACCCATGTCCTCCCGGAGGGCGAATCGACCGTCGAGCGACTCGACGAGGCATCAACCACCGACGCGGCGCCGTCCCATGTCCTCGACGTCGAGGCGCTCGAGTGGAAACTGCTCAAGAGCCTGCGGTCCTGCGTCTTAGAGTACGGCATGATCGAGGACGGCGCCAAGGTCCTCGTGGCGTGCAGCGGCGGCAAGGACAGCAACGCGCTCCTCTACCTGCTCAAGCAAGCGCAGCAACGCCGGCTCTTCCGCGGCATCGATTTCGACGTCGTCGCCGTCCATCTCGATCAAAAGCAGCCCGGCCACGACGTCGAGCCGCTGCGCGCGTGGCTCGAGGACGACGTCGGCGTCGACTTCCAGGTCATCGAGGAGGACACGTACAGCGTCGTCGTGGACAAGACGAAGGCGGGCAAGTCCTACTGCTCGCTGTGCTCGCGCCTGCGGCGGGGCATCCTCTACACGCACGCGGAGCGGCGCGGCGCGGGCGTCTTGGCGCTCGGCCACCACCGGGACGACGCGCTCGAGACGCTCCTTCTCAACATGGTGCACAACGGCCAGCTCAAGTCCATGCCGGCGCGCTACGTCGCCTCAAGGGGGGTCGACGTCGTGCGGCCGCTCATGTACGCCGCCGAAGCCGACCTTCTCGCGTACGCGGACGCCATGGCATTCCCGATCCTGCCCTGCAACCTCTGCGGCAGCCAGCCGTCGGGGACGTCGCAGCGCGGCGAGGCGAAGCTGCTCCTCCACGCCCTGGACGCGTTCGCCGGCGCCGACGACGCGCGGCGGAACATGCTCCGCGCGCTCTCGGACGTGCGTCCGAGCCACCTGCACGACCGCGCGCTCCGCGAGGCCGCCGGCCTCGACCCTCTGACGGGGAGCCCCGTCCACGCGCGCGCCCTCCCGATCCACAAGGACCCGACGGGCGCGTCGGACGCGCTCCTCAACGATAATTAGCCCGAGTCCGGCGTGCGTCTCAGGGCGAGAAGCTCGTGATGGACTCCTCCATGAGCGCGTCGTCGTGCTTTTTTCGCACGGGCGTCTGGTTCGGCGTGTCCGCGAGCGGCGAGAGCGGGCCGACGTCGCAGGGCGTGCCGTCGGCCTTGTCGGCGGCGGGCGGCGCGGCGGCGTCGTCGCGCGCGGGCGTCTCGGCGTCCTTGGCCTCGTCGGCGCCGGGGCTCTGCGGCGTCGCGTCGTCGTCGTCGTCGTCGCTGTCGTCGGCCGCGGCCATGGACCCCCACTTCTTCGTGTTCGACGCCGAGTCGGGCGTCGCCGGCGAGAGCATGGACCGGCCCGGCGCCTCGCCCTCGGCCGTGCGCACGGACGCGTCGTCGTCGTCGTCCGCCGGCGGCGGCGCGGGCGCCTCGTCGGGCTTCGCGTCGTCCGCCGGCGGCGGCGCGTCCTCCTCCGCGTCGGGCTTCGCCTCGGGCTCGGGCGCCTTCTCCTTCTTCGACGACGAGAGCTTGGACCAGAGGCTCCGCTTCGGGGGCTTCGTCTTCGGCGGCGTGAGCTCCTTCTCGCGCGCCTTCACGGGCGTCTCCGTCGCCGCGTCGACCTCGGACGGCGTGAAGCCCGCGGACTCGCGGCCGTCGTCGCCGGCGTCCTCGGGCGGCGGCGGCGCGGCGGCGGCGTCGCCGTCGCCGGCGGGCGCGGGCGGCGGGTCGTCCGCGGGCGTCGGCGCGGCCTTCTTCTTCGACGACGGCTTCTTCGACGACTTCGGCGTCTTGGCCTTCTTCGGCGTCTTCGCCGCGGCCTTCTCGTCGGCCTCCGCGGCGTCGAGGAGCCCGACGAGCTCGTCGAACTCGAGGAGGACCTTGCTCAGGGCGTCGAACTTGAGCTCGCCGCGCTTCGCCTTGGCGTGGATGCCCTTGAACTCGGAGAAGTCGACGAGGCCGTCGCCGGACGTGTCGATGTCCTGCATGATGGCCTCGACCTCGTCGTCCGTCGGCGTCGACCCCGTGACCTTGCGCAGCAGGAACTTGAGCTCGAACTTGTCGACCTTGCCGCTGCCGTCGGTGTCGATGCGGTCGAACTGCTCCCGGAGCTTCGCGCGCTCGAACTGCTCCGCGGCCGCGTGGTCCTTCTGCTCCTTCTTGCCCATCTTCTTCGGCGTCGCCGCCTTCTTCGCCTCCTTGGCCCTCGCCTTCTCCTCGGCCTTGGCGGCCTTCTCCTCGGCCTTGGCGGCCTTGGCCTCGGCCTTGGCGGCCTCCTCCGCGGGGTCCTTGGGCGCCTTCGCGAAGCACGCGAAGAGGCCGGGCTTCTTCGGCGCGTTCGGATCCGGCGGCGGCTTCTCCTTCTTCGCCTTCTTCGCCTTCTTCTCCTTCTTCGCCTTCTTCTCCTCCTTCTCCGCGGCCGCCGCGAGGCCGCGCTTGGCGGCGTCACTGATGGCCGGCGGCGCGTCCGCCGGCGCCTCGTCCGCCTTCTCCTCGGCCTTCGTCGCGAGCTTCGGCGCCAGGCTCTTCGCGCAGGGGTCGTCCTCGTCGTCCGCCATGGGTGTGCGCCGCGGGTGCGCTCGTCGTCGCGCGCGCCGGAGCTGCCCCCACACCCTGGGGGCCTCGAACCGTCAAGTGCTTAAAATGTTCAATCTGTCGTTATTGAAGAACAGAGCTCGAGGGCAGCCAAGGCGATGGCGGCACGACCCGCGCTACGCACCATTGCTCTTCTGGCGCTGCGCGGCTGCTTGGAGCTTTCGGCGTCGGCGGCTCCGCTCCCGGCGTTTGTGACGCCGCGCTTCAACGCGTCGCGTTCGCTGGCGTCGCTGCCCGGGATCGACGTGCGCGATCCCACGACGGCGCTCTGGGACCCCGCGTCTCGCACCTGGCATCTGTACGCGACGCATCAGCCCTCGGGCGCCGAGGGGTACGCGGCGGGCCAAATTTCGCACTTCTCGCTCAACGCCTCGCGGTTCGACGACCCGACGGCGCGGTGGCGGCACGAGGGCGAGGTCGTCGCCGGGTCCGGGACCGCGGGCGCCTTCGACGCCCACGCCGTCTTCACGCCGGGCGCCGTGCGGGACTGCGCGGCGAACGGCGGCGGCTGCGCGTGGTTCCTCTTCTTCGGCGGCGTCGCGGACCCCGGCGGCGCGCACGCGGAGTCGATCGGCGTCGCCGAGTCGTCGTCGCCGTGGGGCCCCTTCGTCCGGCGCTCGCGCGAGCCCGTCGTCTCGCGCGAGGACGGCGCCAACGCCGCGTGGTGCGCGGCCCAGGGCATGGCGTGCGCGCGGGTGGACGAGATCAAGCCCCTGCGCGCGTCCGACGGCGCGAGGTACCTCGCCGTCAAGTCGGTGTGCGCCAACGCGACGACGGGCGCCAACGTCGCGCTGCCCGCGCTCTACCGGCCCCGGAACGCGAGCGGCTGGGGGCCGCCCTACGAGCCGCTGCCCGCGCCGCTCTTCCCGCTCTTCCTGGGGACGCCGACGTGCGAGTCGCGCGGCTTCGAGGAGCCGACGTTCTTCGCCGCCGCGGACGGCTTCCTGCACTTCATCGCCCACGACCACGGCAGCTGCGCGTCGGGCCGCTACGCGCACTACGTGAGCGCGAGCCACGCGCTCGACGCCTGGGTCGAAGCGCCGGCGTTCGCCGGGCCGCAGGGCGGCCCCGCGAGATTCACGGAGCCCGTGCCGGTGCCGCTCGCCGGGGACGGCGTCTACGGCGGGCCCGTCTTCGGCGAGTGGATCGACTTCGGCACGTGGCTCAACGCCTCCAGCCGCAGCATGGAGCTGGTCTACAGCACCGTCAGCTGGGTATGGAGCAACGCCTCGGGCGCGTGAGCCTCCCCTGTCGTCCAGGTCCGAGCGGCACCCTCGAGCGACGTGCTAGGCGTCGGCACCGGGCTCTTCGCGCACGGGTCGTCCTCGTCGTCCGCCAAGGCGTGAGGACGCGGGTCGCGCGCGCGGTCGCGCGCGCGCCGAGGCTGCCCCCCAGCGTCTCATGGAGCATTGTTGCCGCGGACGTGCAGCGCTCAACGTTTGCATTGAAGGGGGCAGCGTCGACGATGGTACGCCCCGTCGCCGTCGCCTGGCTCGCGGCCGCGTCGCTCGTCGCGGGGCAGGACCGGTCGCAGAAGGACCGGCTGAAGGCGCTCCGGCGGCAGCGGAGCTTCCCGTCGCCGTCGGCGGCCCTCGCCGCGCGGCAGCGCAACGCGACGCACCAGAGCAGCCGGACGCGCGCCTGGCCGCCGCCGCGGCTCCTGGAGCCGCTCCTGCCGGCGACGGTGACGCGCCACGTCTGGGCCGGGGGCTGCTGCGGCCTCGGCCACCGCACGTCGCGCCTCATGAAGCTCTACGTCTACGCGGTGAGCCGCGGGCGCCACGTGCTCGTCGACTGGGGCGCGTGCGTGGGCACGGGCGTCGCGAACCTCTACGCGGCGCTCTTCCAGGACCGCACCGAGCTCGCCGCCGTGCGGACGGGCAAGGTGCCCCAGGCCATCCGCGCGCCGGGCTGCCCCGGGGGCACGTGCGCGTCCAAGGGCTCGTGGCTCGATATAGGGAAGCGCGACGGCAGCTTCTTCCCCAACGAGCCCCCGGAGGAGTGGCTGCCCCCGGGCGCGCGCGTCGGCCACAAGAAGGGCGACGCGACCCACAAGAACATGTTCCAGAAGGAGTGGGGCATGTTCATGGTCCACGGCGCCGTGCTCCCCAGGGCAGCAAAAGAGAGAGAAATTCCCAACTTCAAAGGCTCATATCTCGGCCGTTTTCCACTCGTTTTGGCTGATTTTTGGACGAGCGATCATCTCTCGGAACGGTCTCGAAGCGTGGATGTGTTTTCCGTAACGCGCGCGCGCGGAACACTCACGTTGAAGCGACGTTGAACCACCCTTGTGCTGCCCAGGTGCTCCCCTACGCGGAGCACTTTGCGGCGGGCATGGTCGCCGCGCTGCGCGACGAGTGGCGGGAGCTCCTCGACGACTTCATCCAGAAGGAGTTCCACCGGGGCGCGCCGCCGCGCGGCGCCGCGCGCCGGGGGCCCCACGACCGCGTCCACGTCGTCGGCGTCCACTTCCGCCTCGGCAACGGCGAAAAGTTCGCGCGCATGCCGACGAACCACACGCACGTCGTGCTCCGGGCCGCGGCGGGCGTGAAGAAGGTCGCGGCGCAGCTCGGCTACGACCGCTTCCGCGTGCTCGTGGCGACGGACGACCCCGTCGCGCTCGAGATCTTACGGAAGCACACGGACCTCGACGTCTTCGCGCGCGAACAGTGGCGGCCAGGGCAGGAAAAGGGTGATTCAACGTCGCTTCAACGTGAGCGTTCCGCGCGCGCGCGTTTCGGAAACAGCACCCACGCTTCGAGAGCGCTCCGAGAGATGATCGCTCGTCCAAAAATCAGCCGAAACGAGCGGAAAACGACCGAGAGAGGAGCCTTTGAAGTTGGGAACGTCGCGCCCTTTTCCTGCCCAGGTGGCGGCCGCCCGCGGGCGCGGGCATCGTGTTTTCCAGCTGGCGCGTCAAGGAGGTCGACAAGGACAAGTCCGTCGCGGCGCAGAAGGAGATGACGGGCTCCGCGGACGCGTGCCTCCGGAACTCGGCCGACATGCTCATCGACTCGCTCCTCCTGGGCTACGCGGACGCGCTCGTGCTGCCCGTGCCGTCGACGTTCACGGTGCTGCCCAAGGTCATGGCCCACAGCCGCGGCGCGCCCTACTGCGCCTTCCTCGGCGAGACGTGGCACGCGGCCGGGCTCCACGAGGAGCCCATCGCCATGACCTGCTTCCGGAAAGACGCGAAGACGGGCCACGCGTCGGACTGGACCGTGGCCTC